TAGGATTTAGGCTTGGGGTTTAGGGTTTAGGGTTTAGGGTTTAGGATTTATAGGGTTTGGGGTTTAGGTTTATTTAGGGTCCTTTAACTTACTCTCTACACCCTGAAGCCCTAAACCGTCAATTCAGGTACTTGGCAGTTTCAATTATCAGTTCATATAGTTGACAGGCTTTGCCTGCATGAACCACCGACAGTCAAGGTACTTGGCACTCAGTTTCCAGCATGCCTGGCGCTACGTTCTGCTCACCTGGCTGCTGGTGCTGGTGGTTGTGGAGCTCCTAACCGGCCGAGGGGTCCAAGTCGGTTTAGGATTTGGGGTTTAGGGTTTAGGGTTAGGGGGAGTCTTTCCTAGTACAGACTATGTTTCTCGGGTTCAGGGTTTAGGATAGTTAGGGGTATAAATAGGGTTCAGGGTTCTTTTGGCAACGTTTTGTGTTTATTCACGGAAGTCCGGAATGGCCATCCACGCGTACTCCTAGCTTGTCAACATGTTTCTCTTTTCTTTGGGCACAGATAGCGGGTATGATCTCATCCGAGAGTTGATGGTTTTAGTTTTAGTGTCTTGGGTTTTGGATTTAGAGTCCTTTTCGGGGTTTGGGGTTTAGGGTTTTGCTGTTTCTGGCCTCCGGGCATTCAGCATCGAAGGCTCTTGACTTGTCTAGACCTGGCACCGGCGATGGGCAGCGTCAGGTTCAGCTACCAGGGTTTCAGGCAAGAGTGTCCTTTCAGCGGCTGGGAAGCGCTCAGAACAAGCAGCTGTTTTCCTGCTCTTGCTCTGTGTGGACCCTACGTATCTCCGAATCTGCACTATACAACCCGAACATACCCTACCAAGTGCACTAGAGCCCTTATATAACCTTCAAAGCTACCCTTTAATTCGTTGAAAATGCAACACCCTCAAGACCCTAAACCCTAAACCCTAAACCCTAAACCCTCAAGACCCTAAACCCTAAACCCTAAACCCTCAAGACCCTAAACCCTAAACCCTAAACCCTCAAGACCCTAAACCCTAAACCCTTCAGGCCCTGAGCACCAAAGCAGATACCCTTTACCAGCCAACCCATGGCCAACCTTAGGACCCTCCTACCTAAAGGGTCATACCCTACCCCTTTTTCAGGGTACCTACCTTTTTCATACAACAAATCCTACCCTTAAAAAAAAAAGGGGTAGGGTATGACCCTTTAGACAAATCCTACCCTTAAAAAAAAAAGGGGTAGGGTATGACCCTTTAGGTAGGAGGGTTTTAGGTTTGTGGATGGCATGTTGGCCTGCGGTCAGACAGACTCAGGTGGCCTTGGCCTATTCGTAGCTATGCCAGTGTCCGTCCTGACATTCTTCCTCGCCCCTTACTTCCCAGACACTCGACCATTCTTGACAGACAATGTTGTCTTTGGTGTAGTAAACAAGTTCATGAAGCAGCCTTCTTTACGGCTGTAGTAGTTTAAAGTGCGTTCGTAAGAAGTAACAACGTTTTGTCAGGGCTAAAACCCTAAACCCTAAACCCAGGACATCGGGGGCACGAATCAATCCTGCTTCCTCGATGTGGTCAGCATCAACCAGGGCGACCTTGGCATGATGCGGCAGGGAATCTACGGATCCTTGGCTGTCCAATGGGCTTTAGTAAGGGTTTAGGGTTTCGGGTTTGAAGCCCGGAGCCATAAACCCTAAACCCAACAGGGAGGACTCATTCGAAGCCGGGAGCACCACTGAGAGCCCTCGAGCATAGACCATGAAGCATCCTGGGTCATCCTACACGCGAAGTAAACCCTGAACTCCAGCAGTGCTGGCCAAGGGCTGGGTGGCTTCCTGAGCGCGTCCAAGGAGACCAAAGCCGTTTCGTAGTAGCCTGTTGCAACCCAAAGGCTCCATGTACCTTTATAGTAGATACTTAGGCCTTAAAGGGGTCTCTATATTGGTACTTTAAGGCTTAAGTATCTACTATATGGGTACATGGAGCCTTAGGGCAAGGAGGCTCCGGAGTTCACGCAGACATTAGTCGAAAGTTGGCGATTAGTGGTTCTTAGCTGGTGCCCAGTAGTTAGAGCCTAGTAGGCAGCAGTTTGTGGTTAGTAGTTAGATGGTGCAGTTTGTTAGTTGGTAGTAGTCAGTAGTAACCAGTAGTAACCAGTAGTAACCAGTAGTAACCAGTAGTAACCAGTAGTAACCAGTGGTAGTAGTAGTAGTAGTAGTAGTAGTAGTAGTAGTAATAGTAGTAAGTTGCAGTAAGCTGTAGTAAGTTGTAGTAGTAGTAGTAGTAGTAGTAGTAGTAGTAAGTTGTAGTAGTA